GTGCTCATGCCAAAACTCTTGAAGTCACACTTCTTTCTTTTACAACCCATATCCAATCAGCCAGGAAATCTTGATGGTACTGGCAAAATACACCCACAATCCAATCTCTTCCTATCATTTCCAGGGCTACCATCCTGGTCCATCTGAGTTACCACCATCTCTTGGCCCTAAGTTACTGTAATATACTCCCAGTTTGTCTTCCTGCTTAACCTCTTGCCTGTCCTCAATACCACAGCTCAAGTAATCCTTTAAAAAAGTAATGATTTGGGGCTGGGGATTTAGCTCAGTGGTTCTGCTGCCTGCCCTGCAAGCGCAAGGACCCAAGTTTGATCCCCTGTACCCCCCAAAGAAGTAATGATCAGTATCAATTCTTAACTCAAAAACTGGATCAGAGATAAAACCAAGGCCATGCAAATGCCTTTAAGCTCTTCCCTGGTCCACTCTCATCTGCTAGTTTACAGACCTCATCTCTTTTACTCTCCTCTTTGATCACTCTTCTCGGAGACTTTGGACTTCTTGCTGTTTCTCAGACCTTCCAGACAACCTCTACTTGTGCCCTCTGCCTAGCCTAAAATGCTCTTTTTTGGGCTGGAAGGCTAATCCCACACTTCTTTCAAGTCTTTGTTCAAATGCCATCTTCCCAGTGACAACTATAGTACCCTGCCATACTTAATACAGTAACTTGCCCCCAAACCCAGAACTCTTCAGCTCTCTCATCCTGCTTTCCTTTTCCCCTTTTCCATAGCACAGGTCACACTTTCTACTATATTATGCAAGCTGTTTATTTATTAGATTCATTATTAATTGTCTCCCCCTGGTGGAATGTAAATACCATGAGGGCAGAAATCTTTATATTCACTCTTGTATCCTGCACACCAAGAACAGTGCCTGGAATACAGGAGGTACTCAGTAAATACAGTACTTGTTAAATAAATGAATAATTTTTTTTGGTTTTCAACTACAATGGTAGTTTGTGTCAACTTGGATGGTGAATTGAAAAATATTCAACAAGGCAAATGTAACTGGGGAGAGGTGTCATAAGGTAAATATTATTGGGGACAAGTGACACCTTCAGTTTCAGGTTTCTGATCTGAGCCATATCTCACAGGCTGAGCAAGAATCACAAGTGAGATGTTGCCTTTCCAGCTCACTTCTTCCACAGAGTCTACTGTGTTCTGTTTTCCTCCAATGAAGAACAGATGTAGTCAGTAGTGTCTGCTCAGGGTTTTTCCTCCCTAGAATAATAATTGGTTCTTTTCCTTTTCCTCTACATGGGGTCCTCACTGTGACCCAATTCTTTAAGACCTTGTAACAAAAAATGAGTGGTGGCTCCGTTTAAAAATACTGGAAATTCACAAATTAAGCCAATGTCCCTGATAAATCTGATTTAGTTCACTGACATCTAGAAGAAACACAATGATCGCCAGAGTTGTATAGCAAGAGAGGATAAGGGACAGTACAAACTCAAGGAAAGGGCTGGGGTGGGAGCTGTTGTTAGAGGTTAACACTGGAAGAGAGAGGAAGATGGGCACTTTGTGGGGCAGATATCATGAGACATTTGTGTTATTTTTGCTTCAGCTCTCCTGGGACCCCATCATGCTGCTGCTGGTGCCTAGGATAGTCTAATGGAAGCAGCTCCAAGTGTTCTTGGAAGCACTCACTGAATGAGCAATGGTCAGACAGACAGTTAGGTGGTGAATGATCTCTTCTACTGGAGCATTTCAGGCCACTTTCACATTGTTGTCTATACTGATAACACCAAAACACTGGAATCAACTAAAGGGTAGCAACAAATGTTTCATTAAGTGCTGAGCTCTTCTGCATTACCAATCCTCAAAAAGTTCCATTTCTTGAATAGTACTGAATCATTTAAACTTGGTCAAAAAGAAATCAACATGGAAAGGCCTAGGGACTCACTGGGTATTCAATAACCATCAGTTCCTATTTCTTCCCTCTCTCTTATTTTCCTGTAGTGCCCCTCCAATCTCCTTTGAGATGATTGTTTTCCATGTTTGTCTCTTTCATAGTGTATCTGTGTTTTTTATTTGGCCCAGATGTCAGGTTGGCCTGCATTAGTACAGGCTGAATCACTTGATTTCCTCTCCATGTTTCTAACCTTTCCAGATTCTCTGTATCATTTCTCAGTTATTCTTGCTGTTTACAATACCTCTCAACTTAAAGCCATCTGCAAATCTCATTACCACACCACTGACTGACTCCTTCTTCCCTGAGATCACAGGATATTTTAATAAAATAAGACTGGACACCAATTCTTTCTTCTCAATATGAGGAACTACTCCTCTTGAGTTACATTAATTATCATTTTATATAAGTATATTATTATTGCACATAAATTTCCAGTTTAGGCAAATCTATACATGTTAAAATCAGAATTAACCTTTTTTTTTGTACTGGTGATCGAACACAGGCAGCAGAACCACTGAGCTAAATCCCTGCGCCAGGATTAACCTTTTTTTTTTTTTTTTAAGCTTTTCACCTTATAAGAAAATCAATTATTAATCCCTTTAACTAGTCATCTTTCCTAGGGTACTTAAACTACTTAGCTTATGAAAAAACCATCCTACTTTTAAAGGCTAATTTCAGCCTTGAATATGGCTGTTTCATCTTTTATCCACTTTAGTTTGTAAGAAATTGTTTCTTGGCAGATCTTTGAGAATGAGATGTGAATACTTTCATGTTAATAGTCAGCACCTAGAGAACCTACCTGTTTCCTCACTGCTGATCCATTGGCTCCTGGATTCAAGTTTTCCTACTCTTTTTCTTGATATACTCAGGAATGTGGTGGCTTAATGATGTGGGTATCTCAAGGCTTCCATATAGCATCAATGACTGAGTGATGAGTGTTGGGCTTGGAATGAATGGGATTTAGACAACTCAAAAAGTGGATATTAAATTTGCTGGAATTCTCAATAGGTCACATTTTTTTCAGTGACTAAATTATCTGCACATTTCCTTAACATGGTGTGTGTACATGTAACTTTTTTGGTTCATTTCCTAATTTCTGCATCTACTATATTCATCCTACCCTCTAACTTTTCTAATCTGCCTTAGCAATAGTTAATTTCTGAATTGGATGTTATATACTATTATAAAATGTAAATCATATTCATTAAGTTGAAATGACAATTACCCCTTTCATGGAGGGAAGTATGACATCAGAATAGACAAAATCTGAAAGTCTTCAAATAATTCAGTTTGTTTTTTGCACTTTAGTGTCATGCTTTTTTCTATACCAAATGATTTCTTTTTCCAAAATGTGAACTCCTGAGAGGATCACCTTCCCCAAATTAGGGTCTAAGGAACTAATCCTCATTTGTATTTATACATGTTAAAGTTTCCAAGTTCTTTCTGCTCTACTACTCAAAAAGCACAATAAATGTTATAGCTTCTCTCCCACTTGGAAAAGCACAATTTTTGGAGCTTCAAATTGGCTGCATTAGGAATTAGAAATGTCTTTGATGATATGCAGCTGTCTTCATTTTTTGATCACAGATGTCTAAAGCATTACAGGAGGCTGACTCATGTACCTGGAGAAATGGACCATGGTTTCTCACACTTCCTCTTGAAGCTCTTGTCAGATAAGAGACTGGTTTCTTTTTTCTACAATTAGAAACTTAATTACATAGAGAGAGGAAGGGGCTTGAGGGGGGGAATAGGATAAAATAAGGTAAATTTTATTTTTTTAAAAAGAAACTCAATTACAGGATGACTTCCAAGAATACAAATCCTGACATTTCTTTCTTGTCGTCTTACAGCTGTCTCCAATATAGGTGCAGCACATAGTAACCTTACTAGTTGTCCTTTATCTTTATGTTTCTCCTATGGAGATTCACTTAAGATACCAACAGGCAGAACTTCAATTCCTGATAGCTACTTTGTGGCAAAAGAAAAACAGCTGTGTGTGTGTGTGTGTGTGTGTGTGTGTGT